ACGGCAACTCCGATAATCATAGCCGACTCTTCTGATGAACAATCGTTAGCTGATATGGCGAGAAAAGCAAAGGTCATCATAAATGCCGTCGGTCCGGTAAGCATAATTTTTTTGGAAGAATCCAGAAAAAGCGAGAAATGGGACGAGTAGGGTGAAAGAGAGGGTGCCGGGAGAAAAAGTGAAAAGGTCTAGGGAGGACAAGAATTTCAACTAAAGAAATTAAATTTTAATCGCGGTCGAAAAGCGATGCGACATTCGAAAGGTGCTCAAAGTTTAGAAAAACTGTTATTTTGATCATTGCAAAGTTGTCCCACAAGTATTTCTGTGAGTGCAGCTTGTTTTTGAAATCTATAAAATTTGCTAGTCCGAGACTTACCCATGATTACAGTATCGTCTCTACGGTGAACCTGTCGTGAAAGCTGCTGTGGAAAATGGAGCCAACCATGTGGACATATCTGGTGAACCAGCAGTAAGTAATTCCAAATGGTTCTGCTGACTAATGAAGCGGGGAAAAATAAAAAACCTCCGGAACCAAAAGCATTTTATGCTTAACGTAAGGTATCTGATAACCAGGGTATACCGAAAATTTCTTTATTTTCTAGTAAACAAGATGAGTAGAAGTGTGGTAGAAGTCTTGGTAGAAGTATTTCAAACCCATAAAATGTAATCTTAAATACAAGGCATAAAAGTAATCTTGGACCAGCAAATCATAATTTCGTGACTGCTTGCTTATAACAAATGTAACCAAGGTTATCAGTTGTCAGCGATAATCACATGAGAGCAATTGCTATACTCACAACTCATATTTTCAGTATCTCGAAAAGATGCAAATGATCTATGGCCAAAGGGCTAAAGAAAACGTAAGTGGAGCAGGGTAAGTTTTTGCACCAGAAATAAGATTTTCTTATGTCAGGGCGTATATATCGTGGGCGCTTGTGGTTGGGACTCAATCCCTTGCGATCTTGGAGTAGCTTTCTTGAAAGAGAAATTCAATGGGGATCTCAATCATGTGGAGAGCTTTGTGCAGATGGTCAGTGGACCATCGGTAAGTAAATTTTGTTCTTGTTTGGTGTATTGACACAAACTTGCTCGGTGAAAATAAGTACCAAGTATGTTTGACAAAGCT